TTAAAACCCTGTAAATTTAACACATTATTTGTAAAATATTGAGTAAAATTGATAGAATTGCGGAAAAAAAAAAAAAAAAAACAACCGCAGTTCATTCTTTCTTCACAGACATCAGTCTTTTTTTTTCTTAAAAATCAAGCTCAAATTGAGTAAATAAAATCAAATTAAATACATGTAATGATAAACAACACTATAAGGAATCAAAGCCCTATAAATTTAACACATTATTTACAAAATATTGAGTAAAAAATATAGAATGGCAGAAAAAAAAAACCGCAGTTCATTTTTTTCTTCACAGACATTAGTCTTTTTTCTAAAAAATCAAGCTCAAATTGAATAAATAAAATTAAATTGAATACATGTGATGATAAACAACACTATAAGGAATTAAAACCCTATAAATTTAACACATTATTTGCAAAACATTTGATAGAATGGTGGAAAAAAAAAAAACACAGTTCTTACCTGTTTTTCGTGCACCCGTGGCTTCAAATTCAAATTTGATATGTAATCATCTAAATACTTACAAATTGTGAACAAAAACTTTTGAACAACACTCTTACAATCAATAACCCTCAGATTTTACAAAAATGGATGGCCTATTTTGCTTGAAATCAGAGAAATGGCAGAACCCTAAAACTCACGCTTCATTCTTCACAGATCCAAATTTTTGTGATCAAAATCGGTAATTTTTACTACCTTTTATTGACTGAAATGGCTGAAAAATTAAAATTAAAGCCTGCAAGATTCGATTATAAAGCTGAAAAAGATGAAAAATGATAAGAAAATGACAGAAAACCATGAAAATCGTAAAGAACACTGTACAGTCCGTGTTCTTGGGCGAGTCATTATTGAGAACCGGCCGGACTAGGCGATTCACTGTTGGGAATCGCCTGGTTCTCTATAGACACGGGCGACTCTCGGTATTGCAGTAGAACCGATATGGGTGTGCTGGTTCCCGAGTCAAACCGGATGGTTGACTCGTCGAGTTTTCAAACCCTAGTCTCTACAAATGCTTTCTCTCTCCAGAAACCTCTGTGATAGGATGAGGATTAAGAAATGGTGAGGTGGGCTTATTTTATATGTGGAGAGAGAGGGAAGAAGATCTAAAATGATAGGAGAAGGGACTATTTTTTATATTTTTCTCTCAAAAAATACTCTCTCTCAAAAAACATCTATGACAGGGATGATGATTAAGAAATGGTGAAGTGGGTTTTGTTTTAATATGTGGAGAGAGAGAGATAGAGAGAAGAGGGCCTAGAATGATGGGAGGGACTTTTTTTTGTGTTTTTCTCTCTAAAAATGCTTTCTCTCTCTCTCTCTAAAAAACTCTGTGACAGGGATGAGGATTACTCCTAAACCCACGCTAACTTTCAAACTGTTTAGAGTTAGAAAAAATATGTTTTTTTTAATTTGTTTGAGTTAAAAGTTGAAATATATAGATAAAGTTATTTAGGGGGTTAGAAGATAGGTTTAGAAATTTTGGGTTTAGGAAGAAATGAAAGTTGAAAATGGAGTATATGGAGATATTTTCTCTAATTTTTATGATCAAAAGTAAATAAAAGAGGGAGATAAGAGATGAGGGGGTATGTTGAAATCTTTAGGTGCTTGTTTGCTTGAAAGAAAAACAGAATAAGGGTCTACCATGAAATAATATAAAGAATTAGGGTTCTATATGAAATTATCTCAAAATAAAATCTACTAAAATATGAAAAGCATATAAATAAGGGTGATGTTTGTATAAGGTTGCATCCTTATACTGTAGAGCTCAGGTGCACCTATAAAATTTACTTAGAGATATCCTAAATCTTATGATGGCTTCAAAATCTCTTTTTAAATTCAGTTAGAAATTTTAAAATTGAAAAAATGGTACAAATCAAGCAGATTAATAAACACTTGAAAATCTTGAAAACAGACGGTCCAGTTGATTTTTTACTAGGTGTACTATTTTTTGAACTTGAAATTCTTGTTTTTCTTTATGTCCATTCATCTCAAGGTCTAGATGATCAGTTAGAGGGTTCTCCTATGTGGGAACACTCTCCACTGTAGGATTTTTTAGATGCACCTTTCCTCAACAGTATAAGGTTGCAACCTTATACAAACTTTTTTCTATAAATAATAATTAAAACAAAACACATTCAAATGAGGTTGAATTTTAATGAAAAAAATGGATTTTAAAAGTGAGTGTTAATGATCAAAACAATTTTTAATATTTACCATAATGTAAAAATATTTTAAAAATGTATTACAAATCAATTTCTTATTTTTGAGATTATATATATATATATATATATATATTTAAAATACCAGTCGATCACCAAAACCACCCGCAATCAAAATCGACAAGGGGCCGGTTCCGATCTAGCTGGGCGGTTACCATGTATATCGCCTGGTTTTTCTAACAATGGTTCCAAATCTAAGTTACCGGAGCTCTAGGTGCCCCGGTTTCCTGTAGACTTATATAAACAAATCCACACCGTCCAAACTAATGGACGGTGAGAACGGCTGCAACTTTAGTTATTTCCATGGGGCTGCAACCCTATCAAATCCGTACTGTCCAAACTAAAGAATAAAATGATGTTATATTTTTTATAAAAAAGAAAAATATATTCAACCAAACTATTTATTTTTTGTATAAAGAGGTGGCAATAATTATTGACTTTTGGATTTGAGATCAGGTAGTTATGGATATGCCATTGATTGAGCACAAAGTCTGAAATAAAATTTATTTAAGGTTGTGATACAATTTAATGTGTAGGGTTTCACATCTAATGGCTAAAAGTAATTATCATATCCATGTAATTATTTATTCTAATTTATAATAATAACAAACACTATTGCTATAAATGTTTCATTTGTAAAAAAATAATTTATAAAGCCATACCTAAAATGTTAACTATTAAACCGTTTTCTATTTATATATCAATTATTCCAGTTACTTATCTCCATATAAAATTCTGAATTTAAATAAAAATGGTTTAAAATGTCAACTATTAAACATTTGTCTATTTATCAAACTAAAACTGAGATATCAATTATTCCAATTACTTATCTCCATATGAAATTTTGAATTTAAATAAAACATGCGATAGAAAATAGCTCATCTCTTTGATAAATGGCTCTAAATAGCAAAAGGCAAAGGATTGTATTAATATTGAGTAGGCTATTAGCCTAACAGACCCCATCAACTAATTAAATTACATTTTGAATATTAACATTAGGGATAATTATATAATTCTAAACCCTTGAAAATATATATGTTAATGTTACACTATGTTGTAAAGAGTGGATTTACTAATTATGAATTTTTTTAAAAAAATTTTATTTTTTTATTGTAGCTTGTTCATTAAGTAAAAGTAAATGTGTAATTATTACTAAAAGATAATAAATATTTTATCTCGTAATGTAAAATTGATATTTTCACTAAAAGACAAATGTATTGTACTAATAAAATTTATGAACAAATGTACCTTTAAAAAATTACAAATTTTGGTTGAATTCATCTATTCCATCCTAATTTAACACCATTCTTTATATCTATATTGAGGGGTTGTTAATTCTAAATAAACTCTATTCATGTAATGTTATCAACAATTTACCAAAAATATTTAAAATATTAAGCATAAGCTATATTTTGATATTTACACCATAGTACATTTTGGACATACTTTATTGTGTTGTCAAAATTTGACAGGACACACAAGAAAAAGTATAAAATAATTTATGCATGCTTCCGGCATTGCATATGTACGGGGCTTTGTGGCGCGTCCACTAAGCATGATCACGAACGGAGAAAGAGAGAGGACACGAATATTTAAGCGAGAGAAAAGTATTAAGTTGCATGTACTTTTAGGAAAAACCTTTTAGGGAAACGTTTACATAAGGTCTCAACCTTATACTGTACAGGTAAGGTATAACTAAAAAAAACCATTAGTGATAGTTGTTCCTATGCTGAAAAATTATCAAATCGATCATCTTGACATTGAAATTCATAAACATTAAAAAAAATGGGTTTATAGTTTTATAAATAGTTCATCTTCTAACACATTATATGGACCATCAATTTTTCAAGATTTTCGAATGTTTATGGATCTGCTTGATCGTCACAATTTCTGGAACTTTAAATTTCACAATTGGAGGTAACAATTGATTTTCATATCATTGCGAGGCCTTGTGGCACCGAAATTACAATTTCGGCATAGTATTGAGTCGTACCTTACTTCAATAACATAAGGCCGACACCTCAACAAACCTCACCCAGATCATGTTCTCTACTTCACTGTCAAAAATATTTGACTGAATGGTCGCGATGCGAGAAATAGAAAATAAATAAATTAAATTTATATATATAATCGAGATTATACTTTTTATTACTCTTTGCTTGTTATTAATTAATTAATTTATTATTTCTTTAAAAGTTTTTATAGGGCCTAGGCTTTATGAAAACAAAATAAAACCTCACCTCAAATCCTGGTCTTGAAGGCACTTTCAACAATGGAAATATCTATGATGGATCTAAATCAATTTCCAACAGTGATAATAAAATTGGTAACCATAGCATTGATATAGATCTTGCGGATCCATAAATACTTAATTTTAGGGTGAAATGGACAGTCTAGATAATTTATTATAATATAAATAAATTTTAAAGTTTAAAATCTTAATTTTTTTTTACAACTAATATGATAAGCCTAGATGAACGACATAAAGGTTTTTTAATGCTTGAATTGTAACTTTTGATGAATCATGAGGTGAGGTTTTACTTATTTTAATAAGGCTGGGGCCTATCAAACCATTTTCTTTTTTAACGATAGTATCCGCTGACAAGAGTATTTCCGGTTGTTATTTACGAGAGAATCTCATTTTATCCACTCCCCCATAATTTACCGGAGCGTTTCAGTCTATTTAAAAAAGACCTGAGGGTAGTTTTGTCCAATTATCTAAAACTGTGTGTTGCAGTCACGCAACAAAATCGCGAGCCCTGTAAACCGTTTCTCAGAAATTTGGCGGGCTTCTCAGAAACACTCCTCTCTCTCTAACTCTCTCTCTCCTCTCTCTCTAACTCTCTCTCTCCTCTCTCTCTTTCTCTCTCTCTCTGAACTTAGTCCCCTCTCTATTTTTTGCTTTATACAGCTCACTCTCTATCTCTCTTCTCTGCAAGTTAAACCTACGAAGATACCAGAGGGAGGGCAAGGTAAGCGATAAATTTGCAGCTTCTTCCTGCGATTTCTGCATTTTCGCCATAAAAATCGGATATACTTCTTTAGTTTTGTGATTTGTACAGTGATTCTTTTCAGAAATGCATGTTCCTCTTGATTTTTCTATTTCCTTTAATGTCAAAGGATTTGATAGCTTTTTGCTATCGAACTTTAATGTCACTGTAGGTTGTGCATTTTCCATGCTTAATCTTGTGCTATTGTTCTTTATTCATGTGGTATTCGTATAGTTTTGCTTCAGAAATACACATTCGTTACTATTTTTTTCATTTTCCCTCGAATTTCAACTGTTTATGTGGCCGTTTTCACTTTTATTTTGATCTGGGCCTGCTAGCTTATAGAACCCTTCAGTGTCACTGTGGTTTGTCTAGTCTTCATTCTTAATATTGTGCTATCCGTTTCCTTTTACTTTTGTATCTGGATTATAAAACTTTGGTATTGTGGTTTGTGTATTTTCCATGCTTAATATTGTGCTATTGTTCTTCATTCGTGTGGTATTTGTACAGTTTTACTTCAGAAATGCGCATTCGTTACTAATTTTTCGTTTTCCCCTTAATTTCAACTGTTTATGTGGCCAATTAAACTTTTATTTTGATCTGGACCTGCCATTTTATATAACGCTTCAATGTGACTGTGGTTTGTGAAGTCTTCATTCTTAATATTGTGCTATTGTTTGTTGTTTTAGGATGTTTGTATAGATTCTCTTTATAAATTCACATGGAGCAAACTTCTAAAAATTTATTTCCTTTTTAGGAGTTTAGGTAGCCTTTTTTCCTTTTATGTTGTCTCTATTCCTTTTCACTTGAGAAAATGCTTAATGTTGCTTTTGTTTTTTTGCTCTCATACATACTATTGTGCTATTGTTATTTATTTGTGTATCAGTATAGATTGATGTGCTAATTTAGTAAATTCCCTTGTTTTTTTTTTTTTTCTCTTTAAGTCAAAGATTTAGGTAGCCCGTTTACCATTTATTTTACCTCTGGACATTCACTTTAGAAAATGCTCAATGTAGTTGTTGTTTCTACAGTTTCGCTGTTACTTGTGCAGTTAACATGCTTGATTAGTATGAATCACTGTCATCCTTTATTTGTGTGATAATTGTGTAAATTCCTTTTAGAAATTTACGTTTAGTAAATCTCCAGCTAATTTTTTGTTTTCCCTTTAAGATCGAATCTCAGATACCTGTTGTCTCTTTTATCTTGTCTCTATACTGTTTCACTTAGAAAATGCTTACTGGTACTGTTATTTGTGTAGTTTCACTGTTATTACCTTGCTTCATTACTATGAAATATGCAGTTGCTAACTATTTTTATGCTATGTTTATATATTTGGTTTCTCTTGCGTTGTTGTATGTGATCCATATTCTGTTCTAACCTATATTGGAGAGGAGAAATATAAAATATGACTATTTGGTCACGGTAACAACCATGGAAATGTGGTTAATCACCGTCCAATCAATTGGTTGGATGGTGATAGAGAGAAAGTAGGGGCGTACAATCACTGAATTGTATGGTGGGAACCACTTCCCCTGATTACCATCCAACACATTGATGGGATGGGGTTATGGTGAACATATTGATCAAATGATACAAACCCTATTTGAAAATGGCTTTGAGACCTTGCACTTTTTTTTTTATATTCTTAACCTGGTAGACTTACATTGATTACAGGAAGTTTGATTCTCTTATCTAAAAGTAAACAAGTTTGCAGGCAATTGATTTTCTGATGAAAGCAAATTTTCTCATTTTTTATTTTATTTTATTTATGATTTGACATGTATTCTCAGAGTGCGAGTCCTGTTATGCATCGTTTCATTTTATCATATTCATTTTTTTTTATGTTGCCAACCATTAAAATTGATTTCCTCTCCTTTGATTTACTGGACTTCCTAACTTTATGGTTATTTTTCTTTTTGAGAAGAATTATCTGTATTTATTGTAGTGATTTAGTACAATTGTTGCCTTTCACAAGAAATGGATGCCTCTGCTAAGAATTACATAATTGACTCTATTATCTGAGGGGGTAGGAGGAAAATAGGGAGAGCAGGGGGAGAGATGGAGGAATAGAAGGAGAGAAGGGGGGCTTCAAATGATCATCGCGACCATTACATGGCCTGGTGGGGTAGGGTGTAGGTACTTTCTATCCTGCTCTTTCTTAAGTGTTGAGCTGGGAGATGGCCAGAGATGTGCAATCAGCACCATCCTTCACGAGAGTGCTAGGGCACTGACCTATCCCCGTGTGTGTCGAAAGCATACACTAAAGACTGCATACTTCATGGATCTCATCAAAGACATGCTCTACCTCCAAGGAGGAACGCCATTCTTGTTTGAAAAATCCAGTGCATGGAGATGTACCTTTTTTCCTGGTCGATTACACTCAAGGAGTCACCTTCCATCTCCAAGGAGGAATACCATTATTGTTTTAAAAGCTTGATCTTCATAGGAAGGCCTGCGCATCGGCCACCATTGCAGTAGGGGTGCCCACAGGTCCTCGGAATGACAAAAGGAGAGTAGCTGAAGTGTTCCTTAATACACCTCAATTCCCTCCCTCCCAGTAGTTACAAAAGGAACTTCCATCAAAATTCAATTTGATGGTGCCTAGTTGGGGTAGAGTCCAATGTGCGAATCCTGGAATCCTCAAGGGAATGGTCCTCATGATGGAGTTCCTTAAAAGTAACCCAACTGATTACAGCAGACATGAGTTTGTCCACAATTGCTTCTAGACATGATATGTTATGTTCTATCCAGATGGTAAAAAATAGTAGCTCTCCAAAGGAGGCCACTTGTTGGAAGGGGATCTGAAAGTGCCTTGCAGGTAGCTGTTGACTGGATTCAGGGGTTAGAGGTCCAGAGATGGTCACCAAAGTCACGCTAAAGGAATACATGGTAGGCTGCTTCTTCAATCCTTATTACGCAGCACACTTTTGTTCGTTAATTGTATCACTTTACGCTATAAATGGTCCACAATAAGGGTCCTGTTTTGTAACAATAGCAAGTAGAAAGCCTGGCTAAAGTGAAGCATACTTGTTAACCACTGTGAGATGGTGACTATAGAAAGATGCCGCCGAAGATTGACCTCATTTGGCTGGTTCAGACTCCATTTGATCTCTTCCTTGTCTAGAAATAAACGGGGAGTTAAGGATGGCCAGAAGGGTCTCCAGTTCGTGCTTGTCTTTGTTGTATAGGTTCCCCCTTAATCTCGGTGACTAAACAATTTGCCATCCAAGAACTTTGTGAGAGTCTATTGCACTGCAGTCTTGGCCAATAGCAACCAAAAATTAGGCAACATGGTTTCCACTGCACTCTCGCCAATCCACCTATCTTTCCAGAACTGAATTTGCTTCCCTGTTTTCATTAAAAAATGGATACAATTGTCAATCGGAGAAAATAAGGAACACCGAGGTGTCATTCTTCTGGACCCCCAAGGCTGTTGAATTAGCTTCCCCTTTTGGAATCCATCTCGATGCTCCGACTCCATAGTTATGCCTAATCCTTTCAAGTAGCAAATCTCCACCGTCCAACAGTGCAACATTCATATCCTTAAACCTTCTAATCCCTAACCCACCTTGTCTCTGAACTTTGCACACCATTTCGCTCTTGATGAGGTAGAATTTTTGCGCAACCCCCCCTCCCCCCCCCAATAGCGACCAAAAATTAGGCAGCATGGCCACTGCACTCTGTCCAATCCACCTATCTTTCCAGAACTGAATTTGATACCCTGTTTTCACTGAAATACAATTGGAGAAAAGAAGAAACACCGAGGTGACATTTTTCTGTGCCCCTAAGGCTGTTGCATTAGCTTCCTCTTTTGGAATCCATCCCGATGAATCGACTCCACATTTATGCCTTATCCTCTTGAGTAGCAAATATCCACTGTCCAACAGTGCAACATGCATATCCTTTAGACCTTCTAATCCCTAAACCACCTTCTCTCTTAGATTTGCATACCATTTCCCACTCTCTCCAATCCACCTATCTTTCCAGAACTGAATTTGATTCCCTGTTTTCACTGAAAAATGGATACAATTGGAGAAAAGAAGGGACTCCAAGGTGACATTTTTCTGGGCCCCTAAGGCTGTTGCATTAGCTTCCTCTTTTGGAATCCATCCCGATGCACCGACTCCACATTTATTCCTTATCCTCTTGAGTAGCAAATCTCCACTGTCCAACTGTGTGATATTGATATCCTTAAACCTTCTAATCCCTAACCCCCTCCCCCAAAAAAACAAAAAACAAAAAAACAAAAAAGCTCCCCAAAATAAGCAATGTCTCATGATATGCTCTAAGTCTATTGGCGATAGAAATTGGCATCTTAAATGGGGACGTTTCGAATTCCTGAATATTGGGCATTGTTGTTTTGATTAAAGTGATCCTTGATTCTAAAGATCAGAAATATTCTGTGGGACATTGTGGCTTTATGGTTATTTCCACTAGGACAATTTTATCGAAAGGATGCAAATAAGTTATAGATTTCAGTTAATTATCATAGAAATGGGTATGCTGCTTGATGCTACCTGTAAGCTCAATTTCATGTGTTTCCGTGTTTCTAATTTGACCGTTTACTACTCAAGATTATGCTCTATATGTGAACCTTGCCATGGATTTGCTTAATCCTTTTTTATGTTTCTTGCAATTTGTTATTTCTTTGTTCTACAAGTAAATTTCTTGTCTCTTGTGCATGTTGCTTGAATTGAAGTTAATCTTACTGGAAGATTTTTCATTAGTTTATAGATTTGATTTTTTGATGCATAGAATATGCTGTGTACATGAACCTTGACATTGTCTTTCTTTATTTACAACTACTTCTCTAGTGCCCAGTATAATCCTAATATATTTTGCCTTAAACTGTTATAATCTATCTATGCTTAAATTTAGATTGATTTCAGAAATTTTGATTTTCCTCCCTTCTGTTTGAAATAACTTTGGGTATTACGGATTTTTATTTATTTATGTATTGAATTGATTCATTTTGTATTCTCTGAGCAATTGTATGCACCAATGCAAGTTCTGATATTCTATTTAATTTGTGTTCTTTGTTTTTGTTAACTGTTAAAGTGATTTCATTGCCTTGCTTTACAGAACTTCTTTAATTATATGTTGTTTTTTGCTAGTAAAGTTTCATCAAAGGAAACAAGTAAGATGTGTTTAGTAAACTAATTAGTGGAACAGATCTTTTAACAGTCGAGAAACCCCCCAGATTGTTTTTTTTATTTCATTTTGAGGTAAGCATCACCATGCTGGCTTCTATGTGTGGCATATTTTTTGCTCATATGTCATAACTTGTATTGGAAATATTTGGCTGCTTGGAGTTGTCTTTACTCTTAATGCATCATTTTCCGTTTGTTTATATTTTTACTCTATCGGTTAGTGATTATAATGTGCTCAATTCATTGACCTTGACATTGATTTGCTTGCATTTTAAGTAATAAACTTCGTGTCAGTGTTTATTTACTCCAGCATATTCTAAGGCTTATGGGCATCTATTTTCTACACTCCATTGGTGCTGCTTATTCACAACAGAGGTTTATTTTTCACATTGGTCATTCACGCTTCGATTTTTTTCATGGGTTAATGTCATATTTTCTACACTTCATATTTTCTTGTTATGTTTTGAGTAACAATTATAGTATCTGATTAGGAACCTTTTAAGGCCATGCTTTATTTCTGTTTTTCACCAATGAGGCTTAGTTAGTGTTTCCTGAATTATGTACACTAACGATAAGTTCTGTTAATCAAAACCCAGGAAAAATTGAAGTTGTTTTAAACTGAATAAAGTTATTCTGGGTTATGATGACTTTTTGGTTGATTGAAGAACCTGGAATTTGAAGTGAATAAAACTTTGAATTTATTTTTAGATTTTAATGAAGGTCATAACGATTTTTTTGTGTTATCTTGTGGTAGGCTTGACGGCATAATGGGATCAAGTTCTGATGAAGAAGGTGAAATAAGCGAGTCAGACATCGATGAATGTGTGGAAAACATATACAGTGAGTTGAAATCAGGAAAACACCTCATAAAGAACTACGATGGCACCTTTAGATGCCCTTTCTGTAAAGGGAAGAAGAAGCAAGATTATCGCCACAAGGACCTCCTTCAGCATGCCACCGGGGTGGGTGCTTCATCTAATAGGGGCACAGAAGAAAAGGCAAAGCACCAAGCCCTAGGCAAGTTTTTGAAGGAAGAAGTGCCTGATGAGCCTGGCCACTCAAATGAGCAAAAAGAACTACCAAAACCTCTGACTATGTCGAAATCTGATGATCTACTTGTTTTCCCTTGGATGGGTATCATTGTCAATATAGAAACTGACTACATCCGTAAGGATGGAAAATATGTAGGTCTCGGTTCCACTCAATTGAAGGATGAGTTGGAAAAGGAAAAGCTTCGACCAGTTAAAGTTCATGCTAAATGGAATCATCAGGGTCACACAGGTAAGGCTGTGGTTGATTTCCACAAGGATTGGACAGGGCATCATGATGCCATGTCTTTTGAGAAACATTATGCTGAGTTGCACCGTGGTAAGAAGCAGTGGTTTCATGAAAAGAGGAGCGGTAGATCCCACAAGAAGGGTTTCTATGGTTGGGTCGCACGGTTGGATGACTATGAGGCTGAAGATATCATTGGTAAACACCTCCGACAAAATGGGGATCTAAAAACTGTTGCTGATCTTGCCCAAGAGCAAGAGAGAAGAAAACAAATGCTTGTTCAAGATCTAGCGAATGAGATTGATAACAAGAATAGGCGTATAGAGTCACATGAGGAGAAATTGAAGGAAATGGAGTACCAAAAGAATGAACTGGACAAAAAGCTAGCCCTGCAAGATGAAGCTCACAGGAAAGGTGCTTGGCTTCTGATGTGTCTGTTTTTCATACGTTGTAATCTATTTTTTTTGGGATTTTAATAACCTCTGCAACTATTGAATCATGTTTAGGTTAAAAGTTAACCTTTTTAATGTTGTATCATACAGCTTTCTGTAATAAATAAATCTGAGTCCTGCCCTACCTCCTCTTTCTTAGCTAGGAAAAAAGAGAGTACTTGACTGGCTCATGAAAATGGAACTTTGTGCTTTGGGGCACTTGGTTTATATGTAAGAATCTGGGTATCTTGATTATATATTGTATTACTTTGAATTTTCATATGATTTCCTGTTTTTGTCGATCTATTATTTTTTTGGAGAGATTTCTCTTTTCTTTTAATGTCCATTAATAAGTCCTGAAGAAATACTAAACAAGACCAATGAATGAAAATGCAATTTGTGAATTATGTATCTGTTGGAAAAGTCACACTGTTTTTAGTTTAGGAAGCCTCATAGAGCACACATCATAAAATTTATGAGCATTTTTCTCTGTATGTTTAGGCTGCTTTGCCTTTCAAAAAGAATAATGTATGTTAGGCTGACTTTTATTGGGATGTGTGCCTGCATTCTGGTTTAGGTGCTGTTTTCTCTGTTTGAATTAAATCGTAAGTTCTGAAAGTTATTGGACAGTAATTCATGCTTATATTATTTTTGCACCGTGTATCTTAAAATTTGTTAATAATTGGTTTTTTTCTTCCTTTTTATGATGAGGCTATCTGAATTCTATTTAGATGCGTGTCTGCACTCTGGTTTATGTGTATGAAATTTCTTAGTGTCTCTGCATGTTGTATCATGTTGCTTTTAGTCTGAAAGGTTCGTCTTGTATGCTATATAATTGCATTATGCATGCAGAGCTGGCAACTAAAAACCAAAGGAATTCAGAAGGTTAGTTCTTCAGTCTTGATAAATCAATTTAAGTATGGCAGTTGTCATAGTTTCTTCTGGCAGTGCTAACATGATGTCATTATGCTAGATGATCATTATTATGATATTCTTTGGTTCAAGCTGAAATCTTTAAGATAAAATAAAGAAATTTGTTTATGTGAAGGAGTCTCCAGAGGATCTCCCTCCATGAATATCAGTGTTCCTATGCAGTAGGATGTATTTAAGCATCGGGATTGATGTAGGGTGTTTCTTAGATTTTTTTTGTTCCCCATTGGTTTAACCCCAACTTGATTCAACTTGATGTATGCCTTTCATCACCAATAATATTTATTACTTATCAAGACAAAGGCAAAATGGGAAATAATGATGTAGGAGGTCCCTTGTATTTGATTGCATGGAGTTCCATCCCCAATCATAGGATTAGACATTAATGGGTGAGGGGATGGTGGATAGTAGCACCAGCTTGGTGGTTATTGGATGGTGGAGTAGTTACCCTTCCATTGCCTGTTACATCTCTAATATTAATGGTTGGGAGGGAACTCCCATGTAACCAAATACAAGGATCCCCTTGCTGATCATTGTTCAAAAAAGTTATTGCATATGTTTCCTTTGCTTTATAATTCACCTGTATGGATTCATCATTTTGGTGATATACTTAGCTTTATATGCTGGAATTTTCTGGGTTGTGCTGGTACATTCACCATACAAATGTTGAAATTTGAAATTACTTGATATTTTACTCCTCCTTATCAGAGCTTAAAAAGGAAAGGCAGAGGCAAGCTGATAACTGGACACAGCTAATGGAGGAACGAAACAGACATAAAGCCACTTTGGATTTAGAGAGGGATAGATTAGAAAGACGGCATAGAGAACTGGAAAGATTGGAGGCTCACAATGATGCTGAGAAGAAAAAACTTGAGGAGGAAAAGAGAAAAGTAAGTATCATTTGTAGTACTTTTTTCTTTTATGTGTGTAAAAGGCATTGAAATGTAAAATCCTTGGATTGCGATTGAGATAGTAGTACCTACTTCTGACATGATGGATAAAATATTGATCATACTGCACTTGCAGAGGGGTAAAATATTTCATTTAGCTAATCTGGACTTTATGCTTGTCTGAACCTTAGTGGAATGAGAGCTTTCTAAATATGTATTGACTGAACTTACAACGCCACAATGTTATGCTGCATAGTTCTTCACTTTGACCTTAAGAATCATCGTAATCAGTGAAAGATATAAGGAGCTGAGATTTGTCAAAGAACACTACATAGGTTGTCACAATTATCTTAATTAGAACTGCTGTGTGACTGTTCTTATTTGGTGCTTTGACAGCTTAAAGTTATAAGCTTCTAATCCTGGCACTGCTGAACCTTGATTTTGGCAAAATTTTATAATATCCCAAAATTTAATTGGTTTTTTATTTTTTATTTTTTATGTAATTTCAGAATGCTCTGAAAAACAGCTCTCTTGAAAAAGCCAGCCTGGAGCAGAAAATAGTTGATGGAGAGGTGAAGAAGCTTATGGAGCATCACAAGGTCAGTTGCTTGGGTTGATGCAATCAATTGGCCTTTTTTCCTTTTTAAATTCTACTCTCTAAATGTCCTCCATTTTCTCCTTAAGATGCCCTGATCTTTTGCACAGATAGAACAAGAGAGGTTGGCAAATGTAATTCGCAAACAACAAAAAGAACTGAATGAGAAACAGACATTGGAAGTGGAAATCCAAAAGTTGAAAGGAGAATTAGTGATGATGAAACATATGGGAGGAGAAAACAACTCGGAAGTATGTGAAAAAATGAAGCTAGTGACTGAGGAACTTCAAGAAAAGGAAAATGAAATGGAAAGCTTAGAAGAACTCAACAGTGTTCTTGTAAGCAAGGAACGGGAAACGAATGATGAGCTGCAAGCAGCTCGTAAAGAAGCAATCCAGGCATGGTCTTTCTTTTGTTTCTAGTATTTATTATCCAGCTAATCTCATGAAAACTACTTCTAAATGCCATTGGTTTCTATGCAATTATATGTTATACTTGTAGCGACAGAGCATCTATTGTCAAGCCTACTATTGTTCTCGATTTTTGTGAATACATAATTGTTTCTGTTTTAATGGGGATGAGTCCTGAAACTGACATGTAGCCTTACAGTATTTTAAGGACCAAACCCACGGTCGTGCACATATTGGTGTGAAGAGAATGGGGGTTCTTGATGAACAGCCATTTTATCGTGCTGTCAAGGCAAAGCTTCCAAATGAAGATTGGCAACTGAAAGCTTCAGAGTTGTGCTCCTTGTGGGACGCTCACACCAGAGACCCAGCCTGGCATCCTTTCAAGACTGTTTCTATTGATGGCAAGGATCGTGTATGTCTAGGGAACTCTTAACTTCATTTAATGTCTTAATTCTAACGCGCCCAGATGCATATATGCATGGCTGAAGTATATGCTTGCATTCTTTCACATTACCAATTCACCACTTGGTTCTCTGAACATCTTTGATCTCCCTTCTGTCAAGCAACTGTCGTTATGCATATTTGCAGTCCAGTGTGTATACAAGCATGCAAGTGGATTTGCCTTTATTCTTCTCTCTGTAAACTGTTATACTCTCACCGTCTTTCTGTGCTCTCTCTCTCTCTCTGTCTCTCTCTCTCTCTCTCTCTCGTTTTCTTGGATGTGTCAACTTTGTCAAATTTTGATTCAGTATTTAAAATTTCTAGGATTACAAGTCTGGCAGTGTTGTAAATAACTATGGTCATGCAGCCTGCACATATCAAGTTGGCTGTACTAGCCTAAGTCGATTGTATTTATTTCCTTGTTGCACATATCATTCAATGTTTTTCCATCCTTATGCCTCTGGCATTCATGGAAATTTCTGTTGATCATGCAGGAGGTTATCGATGAAAATGACGAGAAGTTCAAAGAGCTTAGAGATGAGTATGGAGATGAAGTTTGTAAAGCTGTGGAAACAGCTATGCTCGAGCTCAATGATTACAACCCTAGTGGAAGATATCCAGTACCAGCTCTGTGGCATTTCAAAGAGGGTAGGCAGGCCAGCTTACAAGAGGTGATCCACCATTTTGTGAAGCAGAACAAGACAAAGAAGCGGAAGAGAACGTAGAAATGCAGATTCTTTATTGCAGTTATTTTGAGGTTTGGATTTCACTCCTTGTTTTCACACGGATAATGATCAAAATTCAAATCTTGGGAAAGTTAAACTGTGGAAATATAGTGAAATATAGTGGTTGATAACTAAATCTGAGAGATTTTGTAGTATCTCTTTGAAAATAGTCAGGCATAATATCTTGATGATGGTTAGATCTTTCTCATGGTTATGGGAGTACTGTTGTGGATTAGATTTTTGGTGGTTCTTTTTTTTGTGGTTTGTTGAGTTTTCATGTGGTGTTGTAGTCGTCTCAGTCTGGTTTTCAGCTCTCATTGTTGCTATAATTTTCATGATTTTTTATATTTGTTTTCGAGAGTTATATTTTCTGTTGTATGTGTTTTCGAAATTGGGTGTTCCTTTTGAATTCTTAGTTCTGGTTTAACTGTCATGTCAAATTAAAAGGTGATGCCCTAGTTTTTCTAATCATTTCAACCAATCGCGTTTTTTTCAATTGGGTGAGCTGATTTTTGCTTCAAATCTTGAATTCCAGTGTGATGTTAGGTTGATTTTCTGGTACTTATCACTTTGCTTATTACTTAGTTCCAGTTGAGTACAGGAACTATCTTTCTATGTGCTGACCTTAAATTTAAATATAGGAGAAAAAGTTGAAAAGGAGAAGCATGTATGTACTTCAGTTTTGGTACCATAGCCATCTAGTGGGTTGCATGTTTGAGTCTCATGCTTACAATTCAACAGAGGACATTAAAGAAAAGGGGAAGAGATATTCTATCGACTGTGGATTCTCCTTAGTCATGCCAAATATCTGCAGTTAAAATTTATTACTCGTTGGAAATGTACTTTCTGTGATTCTTTTTCAGTAAACAAATGCACAAATTTATGGCGTAATACCACCAATTAGGTCAATTCCTAATTCAATCATTTGATAATTCCCCATTTTTGGTATTTGGATTGATGATTGGTCGATATCTTCACATATGATAATGTTCTACACTAATGTGATGCTAAGAACATATTTTTTATTCGACTTGTGTTTGACATTCGTCTTCATCTTTTTTTTTTCTGAGCAGTGCTCATCTATTTTGACCAGAAATGAACATTCGGTGTTATTTATGCAAGGATTCATGCTTCTCTCATTTCTTCCCATGGCTTCCTTATACCTATCATGGACTATTTAATCATTTAACATAATGGATTTCACATGTTTAAGTTTTATTTATATTGGCTTTTAGGAACATTAAGATTTTCTTAATAAAAATATCAGGGTTATCTTGAACCAGTAATCTTAGGCCGAGTAAAATTTGTCAATTCACAGAATGGGGTTTTGGGAACATTAGGGTTTTCTTAATAAAAATATCCGGGAATCTTGAACCAGAAATCTTATTCTGAGTAAAATTTGTTCTAATGGGAATTTGCCTGTGTGTGTGGTGTGTGGTTGTGTGTGTACATGAACTTTATTACTGTCAATTTGAGCACGGACCTAAACAAAGTCGTGGTCCCATTTATGGTCCTGATCTGACAAAGATTTCTATGGCACTACATTAAGGCCTGTACCATGGATCAAAAGGTTGGGTATTACTTGCCTTAGGAACTAGGTGTGGGATGAAAAAGGAGACGAATGTAATTATGTGCTCCAAGGTGGGGAGAAGGGTTCCGAGTCTGAGGACCCTTCTTGGTTAATGATCACGGTATTAGGAGCTCTCCCTTGTGTGCTTTGGGAACTTGAATGAGGTAAGGAATGCCTTCAATTGGAGGCACAAAAAAGTTTCAATGTATTGAAGATAGGCCCATGGTCCCGATTATGGATGAAGGGATTTTTTTTTTGTTGATGCTGTTAACTGTTGTATAAAAGAAGGAAAGGATTACAGCGGTCCGTTGAGAGGGCCCACAGGCCGGGCCTCTCTGCAAAAAATAGGCTTCCCCATAGAGAATAGCCCTACAGACTGGATGACGGGATTAGAATTGTGTTTTAAAATACATGGTGGTGTTGGAGAAAGTAAAGTAGGAATGCAATATACTAAAGTCCTAGCCATAGTCTACATGAATCATAGGGACTATTTTGATTGGCTCACAACATGAAGTTTGAAGAATCGCATAAACTAGTAATTCTGCTAATGAGAAAATGATAGAGGAAATAAACACAACTGGACACAAGCTCACAACAAACGCAAAAAGCAAAACGAGAAAAAAATAATGCAAAAAGAATACCAATATTTTGTATGGTTTCACATATACATAACTTCTTCGACGTGTGAAGATGATCAATAATTTTTTACTAATCAATAGAAAAAAAATTACAAAATAACCCTCTCTTGAGAGAACTAAAAACACAAACTTAATTTTTCATAAAGCCTTTCTCTACACTTCCTCTTTATACCCAAAATTTCTCTCTACACAACCCAAGGATACACTAATTACTCTCTCTTCCCACACGCCTATTTATAGAGGAAAGAAACTTAATTTTTCATAAAGCCTTTCTCTACACTTCCTCTTTATACCCAAAATTTCTCTCTACACAACCCAAGGATACACTAATTACTCTCTCTTCCCACACGCCTATTTATAGAGGAAAGAAGGAAGCCTGAAAAAGTTAATCATGTGAGGCCTTCTTTATCTCCTTATGATAAGGATAGACGCAAGCCATTATTATCCACTTTTTGATAAGTTAAATCATCACCCTCATCGTCAAAACCTTTTCCTAACTATTTTTTGATAGGTCAAATATGATACAATCAGGAAACCTAAACTAATCGCCCAAAATTATGAAACTCAAAGAATATCTCCATAGAATAATGACTTGAAATTCAAGACATATCACAACAATAATCGTGTAGTTTGAGGAGCCACATAGATGAGGTATAATGGCAAAAGGCACAATGAGTGAGCTCTTTTGTTGATGTGAAGGCATACTAGAAATATGAGTGAGCTCCTTTGTTGATGTGAAGGCATACTAGAAATATAAGAGAACGTGTTGTGTAATATATGGGATTAATGAGCCATAATGTGTTTGCTCTAGTTTACATAGGAATTCATAACCAATTGAAATGGAATAGCGACCTATAAAATCAAAGGTCATGTATGGTTCAATGTTTGTGTCTGGTGTCTACGTGTGAATGTCCACCATGTCTACACCCTATCCTTGTAGTCAATGCCTTACCTGTGCTTAGTCTTTTGCTTAAACTGATCACCGCCTAACTTAGGTGACTCTTCTATTTTCTTATAAACTCATTTACATCTAATGACTCTCTTACCTTTAGAAAACTCCACGGATCTTAGATATGGTTCTTCAGACTTCATCTCTTCATTATGTCATCACTTCACCTGTTATTGTCAACATTCTATGTAGTTTCCTTAAAAAATGATAGCTCGTGGCTTGTGGTAGACAATGCATAAGCTACCATGTCCTCAAAACTGTAACGCATCAATAATTTCTTGGTTCTCTTTTCCCTTCCAAGCTGAGACTCTTCTTTATGTGGAGTAGGCTCAACGACCTTCTCATGGTCAACATTCTCACCTCCACTCTTTGTCAAGGATTTTCTGGCACATATTTTATAGTATTCTCTAGAGTTCTTAACTCCACCTCAATTTTATTACTATTGCTGCGTTTTTTCTTTTTCGTACCCTTTGAAATGTGTTTCAATATAATCGACTATTCAAACTTAACGTCACAACTGATAATAAATGTGCCCGACTTAGGATTTGGGCACCACAAGTTATTATAGCCTTTAACTCCATTTGCACAACCAAGGAAAATATAATTCTTTGATCTCGGACTCAACATATCGTCCTTCACATTAATATAAGCAAGACAACCAAAAATTCTTAGACGAGAATTATCAGCAGGCTTACCATGCCATATCTCTTGTGGTGTTTGTACCATAGTTAGCAAGTTGGGGATTATCAATAAATTGGTTTACCATGAAATTGGAAACTAATCATTTTTATTTTAAAAAGTCGGATGAAAAAATAGGGTAAAAAATATGGATCGGCAAAAATACTTCATGTAAAGAGATTGCGAATATATCGGACTAGGCTAAAAAAATTGGAGTCATAAAATCAAATATGCTTAAAATATTAGAAATTTTGAAACTCTCTCTCTCTCCCTCTCTCTCTCTCTCTACTATATATATATATATATATACTACTACTACGTATAAACTAAGTACTACC